GAAAGTAACCCCGGATAGGGACTCGATACCTGAAATCCTTATGGAATGGGATTCTCTTTCCAAACAATAAATTCTCCTCCCTCTCCCCTCCTTGCTGTCTTCCATATGCCAACAAGAATCTTCAATAAAGGTATGTAATAGTGAGTTAAATGTTAATTTATCCATTAAAATTAGTCATTTATATTTATTTCTCATAGTTTTCTGTAGGTAAAATTATATATGTTCTCTTTTGGGTGTCTGGATTTACATTATTTATTATGGGAAATATTGCTTTAGTTTTTGTCGAATTTGGTTTTCCTCTGACTCTGGAACCAATTAACCCTTTCAGGGTCGAGAGGCCCTTTCCTAAACTTGTTCTCAGGGTCGAAAATTTTTTGGAAAAAAAAAAATTATTTTTCTTATGAAATGTTAAGAGAATCTTTTCCTGAGCATAATGACACCAAAAGTATGAAATTTGATGGAAAACTTACGGAATTATGCTTGCGAAGTTAGTGGTCTCGATGTTTACGCATTGGCGATTTCGCTCAATTTGAGCCCTATTTTCGATCAATTCCAATGTACTAGTCAACAAAAATCATAACTATTTAGCTAGAACTCCATTTTTTCTATCGAATGAGTACAAGAACCCACCCATTTACCTATTTCAACTATCCAATAAAGTGGTCAGAAATTGGCAATTTTGCCAATTTCACACAAATTTCAAAAGATGCCAATTTCTGTATAGGGTCCAGATTAAACAAGACAGACATTCCTGGCACTAAAATAACATTTTCTCTGTTCATTAGTCACATCCTCACACCCCTCTTACATTTCTTTTGCTTTCCACTTTGAATTTTTATTCTCACAAAAAAGGATTTACTGTTATGCAGACTACTGCATTAATATAGAAATGGTATAAATAATATCAGCGCACTTGTGAAAGAATATTAGACTCACCAGTTGATGTGTATTGGACACATGGCATGATTTGTTTGCTTTTGAACTTTGGCAAAAATCAAACATTTCTGCAACTTTCAGCTCAATTTCAAGATACTTTTCATCGTGAAACCAATTAAAATCATCTCAATTTCTGTAATAGTCTTGCATTCTATAAAATGAGACCAGGAAAACTAGAATACAACCATAAATACCATAGGAAAATACACTGCAAAGTCGCTGTTTTAAGCCAAAAACACGGTCAGATTTTTTTTTTCTCATCATGCACTGTGTGCTGCAGGATTTTTTTAAACTGTGCACACTAATCACATAGACCCATTCTTTCATATGTAGGCCTACCAGCTTTCTCGAGCTAGTTTTGAAGGCGCTAGAATTTACGCGTACTAGTACGTCAATAACCCTGGCGCGTAAGACGTACTAGTATGTCGGAAACCCTGAAAGGGTTAAAAGTGAAAATGAAGGTTCCACTGTACCATTATCCAACAGTCTTTTTCAATCAGCCACTACATCTGTACATACAGTAGAAAATATTTTCAATCTATTTTTTTTTTTCCTCAGTTACTTGTTTCACCAAACAATTTCATTCTTTGTGTCTGTTGATTTTATGTACAAATCATAAAATTAGAGAAGCATTCCAGTAGACCTGCTGTCCCTTACTAGAATTGTTCTTCTCAAACCCAACCCTTCTGACTCGTATATTTGTCCAACCTATTTTTAAATCTACTCAAACAAATTTTATTTTTAAAATGTATGGAATAGTTATAAAATTAGGTGGCATTTATTTCATACTTTTTTGAAGATCACTGGTTTTGCAGAGCAGTTTGGGCAGACAAAAAAAAATTAAAATAATTTTATATAGAAGTATGACATTAGATTACTATTTGAATGTTAACTTTAATATAATTAAGTTGTAAAATGAGATTATTAAATATAATGATAATTTTAAGTAAAAAAAAAATTTTCCATGGTAATAAAACAGCAAATTTAGTATGAAGAGAGAATATAATTGTATTGACACTTTAGTTGTATAGTAATTATTGGGACAGACTTAGAGTGATGACACTAACTGGATTAATATGAGTGCTGATTGTAATCCAGGTAAGGAGGTTGTATCATGGTGGAAAAGTGCAGCCCTAATCCTTGGAAATGATAACACTCGCACTTATATTTAGGTGATGTAGACTTTAATCATATCATGCATACCATGACCTTAGAGTCATGGTATGCAGAAATCAGAAACCAGGACAGAGGTACCTAAGCATACATAATAAGGCTAACAAACTACTTGGATTTATATCAAGAAGTATAAGTAACTGGGGTCCAATGGCTATCCTACAGCTGTATACATCAGTAGGTTCTTGCTTCGATCATTCAGCTCAGTTCTTTCTCGTCTGTATTTACAGAATGCATAAAAAGATTGGAAATCATGCATAAAAAAATTACAAAATTTACTATATAAGTAATTGTACAAGTGAAGTTAGTTTGAAAGCCCTGAACCTATGTTCTTTTGAAAGACAGAATGAGGGGAGATATGATTGAAGTATACAAGTGGAAGATGAATTTAAAGAAAGATTAAAAGTTTGTACGTACTAAGAATACATAACCAAGAAAGAATTCAAGACATTGGATTCAAGTTGGATTAATTCAGATTTACCTAGAATTGATATACAAACATACTGGTTTAGCAACAGAGTTGTAGATTAATGGAACAATCTGCCAAATAGTGTCATTGAAACTAACATTTTAGATAGCTTTAAAATTTGTTAGACATGAATATGGGTGAAAAAAGTTGGATATGAGAAGGACCTGCCTTGTATGGGCCAGAAGACCTGCAGTGCTCTTCAGTTCTTTCGCTCTTATGTTGAGCACGTATCGCCTGCTGGTGCAGTGTGTATGGTAGGGTAGAATCGGCTTGGCAATCACTCCTGAGATACTATAACTACCTGAGTTTTGGGTAATTGTATCTGAAACCATGATTAAGGTAATTTCATGACCAACTTGGCATCTTTACATCTCTTCAGATACCCTTGTGAATTCCTGTGTATTATTCAATCATTATTAAGAATGTGTCTGTTGCATGTGTATTAGTGTTCACCATGGCACTGGTTAGCTGTCTCACCAATATATTTCTTATCACATCCCCCTACATGGGATAAAATACACATATCTGCACTGGTATTGACAGTCATTGGAAGGACGTGGTTATACTAGAGGTCATTGTATCAACTTTAACCATAACCACAGAGACCTTTACACAAATACAGGTATTAAGGAATTTTCAGCTGGGCAAATCCCTGTGGCTCAGCAGACTCCACAACTTAAACTTTACAGTCATTCACATGCTCAGGCCACCTGCACCTTTCCTGCCACCCTCATTCTACCTATGTATTTCCATGTTTCCTGTGTACTCTTCATAGAGTGGAAAAGCCTTGGTTTCCAAGTAAAACATTGTTTTAATGAAGTATACATTCTACCTTTGTGTCTTTGTTAAGCATTTAAAGGACCAATTGAATAACTCACAAAGTTTGCAAATAGAGTACTGTATCAGAATTTGATGGTAAAGTCAGCCATCCAGATGGCAAGTCCAGAAGTCAAATGCTACCACTAGATACTTTCTGTATAATAAATTTTGTTTCAGATTTGAGTTGATTATGTGCTTCAGAGTGCTTCTATTTTCTTAATAGTTCTTGTTCTTGTTTATTTCCACTTATCTCCATGGAGAAGTGGAATAGAATTCTTCCTCCATAAGCCATGCATGTCGTAAAAGGCGTCTAACATGCCAGGAGCAAGGGGCTAGTAACCCCTTATCCTGTATACATTACTAAAGTTAAAAAGAGAAACTTTTGTTTTTCTTTTTGGGACATCCTGCCTCGGTGGGATACAGCTGGTTTGTTAAAAGAAGTTTAAAAAAAAGAAAAAAGATTTGAAAATTGGAAATTTGTAGAGCACATTAACAAAATTCTATGCGTGGTGAGATCCCTATCAGTATGCTGTATTTTCCCAGCTGAGGCTGACATATGTCATTACCTCATGTATAAAATGGAGTTTTTGAGACAGTTGATGACAGAAAAATATGGGTAGCCTTTGTTCCCACTCTGTGACTATAATACAAAATAGTGAAGTTATACACTGTAGTTGTATGCAAACTTGTTTAGAAAAAATTCTTTGTTCACCCCCACTCTGCATTTTTGTGATCATTCTGTGTTTGTGTTTTTCCATTGACTTTAGAAAGCTTGCACAGTAATGTACTATATAATTAAACAAGCAAAATAGACTCTCTACTCAACATGGTATCTGGTTTATATACATATTCATTTACATGTGGGGCTACTGAACAAAGAAGTAATGTGATATACTAGTTTTTCTGGCATCTACACTGTACATTGTAATTTTTTGAAGGATTTGTGTCGAGTTTTAGCCTCTCATTTCTTTCACAGCATCAGTGATATTGCTATTTCAACTAAAGCAATTAAATCTGCCAGTCATTTCTTTCACTTATTTTTCTTATCTTTCTTTCATCTAACTTACTGCTTAGAAGCTTGTTATTATGAGCTTCTTCTTGTCACACCTATTATAATTTAAATGCAGCAGTTGTTGGAACTTTATTTGATGGCCAAGAACAAGTTTAAAATTGTTTGCACTATTCTACTTCTCTGTTCAGTGTTGCATTGTACTTGTACCAAATGCTGTCCTGTACATCAAATCTAAAAAAATTTCCACTCCATTGCCCTTTCAGTCTTATATTTGCTCACAATTTTTGTTTACATGACACAAATTACACAAATAACCTGCACATAAGAGAATGAGGCTTATGACATTTCAGTCGGATGGCAAAGTCACAAGTTTCATTCTCCTATTTGCAGGTTTTTTGTGCATTATTCTAGTCACAGTACACAGTATTGTACAGCCTTTTTATTCTTTGTTTACACTGTATATAAAATAAATGATTTCTAATGATGTATGTATTTAACTGAAACAAAGTAATCTGAACATTTTGAATAACACAAATCTGCTTTGAAATGAAAAATTTCATGTAAACTTCTTTTTTTTTTTTTCAACCCCAGGAACATTTATGGAATGGCGTGGCTTAGCAATATTTGGTGCCATTACTGTTGTCATTTATTTTGTGGCTACACTCTTCATTCCAAATTCACCTGTGTGGCTGATATCTTGTGGTCGAGAGGAGGATGCCAGAAAAACACTGCTGGAGCTTCGTGGAAATCAGTATTGTGTAGAGTATGACTTACAGCAAATCATATCATCTAAAGCTAACCAGTATGTATTTGCCTATTTAAAAAATACTGTATAAGAATTAGTAGAGTGCATGTTCCTGTATTTTTTGTTTTAGTGCAGTAAAATGGAAAGGTTACTCTTCTGTAGACTGTGCATGTGTCTATAGAATTGGCCTTTCTTGCAATTTGGATTTATCTGCAGTTGCTTAATGTTCACATGTTCATTTAACTTCCTCTCATTTTTGTACATTTAAAAACTCCTACTTTAGTTCTTAAGTAGTCTTTCAGCATTAGGATTAGTCTGCCTGATATCCACCGCATGCTAGAATAAAAAATAAAGATTTTATTTCGTTGCCAAGGTTACAATGTGTAATTACAACTTTTATTTGTTAATTATCAAGAAAGCCACTATCATGCCTGGGCATTTTGGGCAGACTAATCCTATTACATAATAACTATTAAGTCTAGACAAGATAAGACTGGTTAACTTCTTAATAAATCTTTATTTTATCTTAATACTAATGTGAGGTAGTCAAGGTGGAGGTTTACAAGAATAATGATCTTGAAGTTGCACATAATAAAAGTATTACAATTAATGGTTCAGACAGTAATATTTTATGGATTGGCAGATGTTTAATAGACTAGAGGTCATATAATATTTGGGAGAGTTGCTTCACACTGATTAGAAGTTGTTTTGGATGGTTTGGTTAACACTGAGAGATGAGATTATTTTTAATCATAGCCCTAAATTTGTGCAAGAAAGGCATGCAATACTGACAAGATGAAAGTTAAGACACATGTGCAATATCTGGTTATCTTTATTGTAGACGTTTTGCCATCCAGTGGCTTTATCAATGCAGATTGTAAGACATAGTTAGAAGACAGTAGAACTATATACAGAAGATGAGGTAATCAGTCCCTCAGCCTTGGAGTTGGTGTGAAGAGCACCAACAAGTCGGCCGTCTCCCACCGAGGCAGGGTGACCCAAAAAGAAAGAAAATCCCCAAAAAGAAAATACTTTCATCATTCAACACTTACACCACATTCACACATAATCACTGTCTTTGCAGATGCGCCCAGATACAACAGCTTAGAAGCATATATAAAGATATAGTATAACATACTCTTCCAAACTGCCAATATCCCAAACCCCTCCTTTAAAGTGCAGACATTGTACTTCCCATTTCCAGCAGTCAAGTCTGGTTATTTAAAAGTAACCAGTTTTCCTGAATCCCTTCACTAAATATTACCCTACTCACTCTCCAACAGCTCGTCAGGTCCCATAAACCATTCATCTTCATTCACTACTATCTAACACACTCACGCATGCTTGCTGGAAGTCCAAGCCCCTCGCCCACAAAACCTCCTTTACCCCCACCCTCCAACCTTTCTGAGGACGACCCGTACCCTGCCTTCCTCCCCCTACAGATTTATACGCTCTCCAAGTCATTCTACTTTGATCCATTCTCTCTAAATGACCAAACCACCTCAACAACCCCTCTTCAGCCTTCTGACTAATACTTTTATTAACTCCACACCTTCTCCTAATTTCCACACTCCGAATTTTCTGCATAATATTTACACCACACACTGCCCTTAGACAGGACATTTCCACTGCCTCCAGCTGCCTCCTCGCTGCAGCATTTGCAACCCAAGCTTCACACCCATATAAGAGTGTTGGTACCACTATACTTTCATACATTCCCTTCTTTGCCTCCATAGATAACGTTTTTTTGTCTCCACAGATACCTCAACACACCACTTTGCCTTTTTTCCTTCATCAGTTCTGTGGTTAATCTCATCCTTCATAAACCCATCCACTGACAAATCAACTCCCAAATATCTGAAAACATTCACTTCTTCCATACTCCGTCTCTCCATTTGATACCCTCATCACCTTACTCTTATCTATGCTCACTTTCAACTTTCTGTCTTTACACACCCTAGTTATGTCCTAGAATCTGTATTGATAAAGCTACTGGATGGCAAAACGTCTACAATAAAGATAACCAGATGTTGCACGTGTGTCTTAACTTTCAACCCTAAATTTGTATGTGATAAGGGGATCCTTTACCAGTTCAGGTAGTGAATTCCAGATCTTCGGGCCCTTTATGTGCACTGCATTTTTGCATAGTGTGAGACTGACACAAGGGATGTCGAAGAGTGCCTTGCGCCTTGTATTGCGACTGTGTGTTCTGTTGTAACTATCAAGGAGAAGTTTAAGCAGAGGGTGTATGTCTCTTATAGTATTTAGTAGGTTCAGACTTTAGAAAAGTGGTGGGGGTGTGCTGTCCAGCACAGGAGCTGATATTCATCCGCACAACAGCTTTTTGTTGGGTTATTAAAGATTTAAGGTGGTTGGCTGTGATCGATCCCCAGGCACAAATACCATAGGTGAGGTAGGGATTTAATAAAGAGTGGTATAGGGCAAGAGTGTCATATGGGGTACATAGTACCGTATCTTGGAAAGGATGTCTACTGATTTGGAAATTTTCTTGGATATATGCTGGTTGTGGGAATGAAATTTAAGATTACAGTCAAGGTAAAGACCTAGAAATTTACCCTCAATATGTCTTGTAATGGGGGAACTATTTATCGATGTATTAAGTTAGATATTTAAGGCTCTGTTTCCAAACAGCATGAAGTATGTTTTGTCTGTGTTAAGAGTGAGTTTGTTGGTCATCATCCAAGTTTATATTTTTAGCAGCTCGTTGTTTACAGTGTCTCTAAGTATAGCTAGGTTTGAGTGGGAGTAGACATAAGTAGTGTCGTCTACGAATAGAACTGGTTTAAGCAGTCGAGATGCACTGGTGAGATCATTGATGTAGATGAGAAAGAGGAGTGGGCCATTGACACTACGCTGGGGCACTTCGACAGCTACAGGCTGGGTAGTGGAGTTCACTCCATTTGTGTGTACATACTGGTGTCTATTGTTAAGATTTTAGGTAATTGAGGGAATGTCCTCTGATGCCATAATAATTTAGTTTCAGGTGCAGGAGATTGTGGTCCACTGTATCAAATGCTTTCCGTAGGTCAGTGAAGACCTACCATAATTCACAGCTTATCAGACTTGTTTTAGTTTCAATGGCTTGGCATCGGACGTAACTGGGAGATCTACAGCCCACCCCACACCCCAAACTTATAGCTCCTGTCACTGACCTTCAGTTTATAGGATGCAGGGTGGCTTTTGGAGACATTTTATGGAAAAAACATGCATCTAATAAGCTGTGAAATACGGTACACTATTTCATTACCTGTATACTGCAAAAAAAAAAATTGTTATTATTATTATTGGGTGCCTGTAGTATAGGTAATTCTTTTCCTGAATGTCTAGAGTATTGATAACCCATTATTGAACTTGCTCATGAACATTCTGAAGACATCCAGGGCCTGAATCTCTCTTGACTACGTTTTTCTTTAGATCCTTTTATTTCCCCACAGTGCTTAACTAGTCAACACTCCTTTCTGAAAGTGGCATCATTAATATGTATTCATAATGTTTGTACATTTTATTAGAGACTGTTGTTTTGTCTTTTCTGTATTCTTGTCTTATCTCGCCTAACCTCTTACTGGTAATTGCCTTTTGTGTTCTCCTGCAGAGTTTGTCTTCTAGTGTATGTACCTCTCACTACACATACCAATGTGTTAATTATTATTATTATTATTTATTTTATTATTATTATTATTTATTTTATTATTATTATTATTTATTTTATTATTATTATTCTTATTATTATTATAAACAGCAAGCATGCAAAGTACTGTAGTACCTTCTGTCCTATCATGTAAGTGTGAAACAAGTCTCTTAAATGTTTTGTATTCTGGCAGAATTGTTGTCCTTTTTCTCTCTATGATAAACATGCAAAATGGCAGATAAACCTTACCAATTTCAACTTGTATTCAGTTTACACAGAATAATTGGAATACTATGGAAGATTCATAAATCATACAGACATAATAACTGATACTGGGATATTGATAGGCAGTATTTAGGAATCAATGATTAGACTCTTTCTAGTATTTCCTGGAACATTCTAGAACTTCAAGACTTAACTGGAAGTTCTAGAACTTCCTCTGTTTCTTACTAGTTACGATTCACATACTAAAGCCTTTCCAGTTTGTCTTTGGAAGGCTTCTAGTTTCTTCTATTCTCAAATAATATCAAACTATTTATGCATAATATAAGGAAAATTTTACTTTTATTAATTTGTTTATACTTTTTTTCCAGATATAATGCATTTTCCTGGCATGATATTATCACACAAAGATCATGTGTGTTTCCTCTTGGAGTTGTGGCTTTGATAACAGTTGTAAATCGGTGCTCGGGCTACAATGCTATCATCACATACTGTGCCACCTTCCTTAATCAAGCTGTGCCAGCTGTCAGTGAATATTGGGCGGCTGCTGGTGTTACGCTGATGCAGGTAATGGATGATATTTTACAGCAGGTCCCCAACTTACAAACTAATTACATTCCTAGCTTTCAACTTACAGACAAGTTATTTGTTCATACTGTGGATTAAGGATTGTAAAACTTTAGTCATATATCTGTTTGTAAGTGTTGATTTGAACAATCTTAGTGTTTTATTTTGCAGAGAATTCATAGTTTGGAAGTCAGGAGGAGGTGCGGGATTGCCAAAGCTGTTGTCCAGAGGGCTGAGGAAGGGTTGTTAAGGTGGTTTGGACATGTAGAGAGAATGGAACGAAACAGAATGACTTCGAGAGTGTGTAAATTTGTAGTGGAGGGAAGGCGGGGTAGGAGTCAACCTAGGAAAGGTTAGAGGGAGGGGGTAAAGGAGGTTTTGTGTGCAAGGGGCTTGGACTTCCAGCAAGTATGCATGAGCATATTTGATAGGAGTGAATGGAGATAAATGGTTTTTAATACTTGACGTGCTGTTGGAGTGTGAGCAAAGTAACATTTACGATGGGATTCAGGGAAACTTGCAGGCCGGACTTGAGTCCTGGATATGGGAAGTACAGTGTCTGCACTCTGAAGGAGGGGTGTTAATGTTGCAGTTTTATAAACTGTAGTGTAAAGCACCCCTCTGGCAAGACAGTGATAGTGAATGATGAAAGTTTTTCTTTTTCGGGCCACCCTGCCTTGGTGGAAATCGGCCGATGTGTTAATAAAAAAACATAAAATTACAGTAAACTTTCAGTTTAATGGATAAACAGGGAGATCAGGTGGGTGGTAATGGCACTTATGGTGGATAGAGATGAAATAGTTTTACTGTGATTGTAACAGTAATGGACAACAGACTTTGTCTGTTGTTTCCATATCAATTAATCAAGCAGATTTTGTTCTATAATTTCCAAAGACCATTGAATCAAGTGTTTATTATTATTATTATTATTATTCATACTATTATTCTCATTACAGTATTATTAGTTAATGTCATTATCATTATTAATAATTATGCTAAAATGCTGTATATAACACAGACCTGCACAGTGTGATGTGCTGAAAGTTGATTGTTTCTGTTAACTTGTTTTGCTTATATCTTCTTTCTTTCAACACACCGGCTGTATCCCACCGAGACGGGGTGGCCCAAAAGGAAAAACGATAGTTTCTCCTTTTACATTTAGTAATTTTTGCTTATATATGGGTTGCATATCCCAAATATAATACAGGGTAATCAGTTTTTCTGTCACACACAGTATCTTCACAACATGATGTAGACCTTTACTAATTGTATGCATAAAATGTGTTACCAAATAAAAACAATGTAGAAAAAAGTACATATATATTTATTGAAGTTATACATAGTACCATGTAAAATGTTTATAAAAATTTGCCACTAATAAGTTCCAGACTACTTGTTAAATTTGTCTTTTCCCTTCAGAACTATACTTGTTGCTCTTCTATTTACATATTTTTTTTGTGGCATCTCTCTCTCTGCAGCATCCACCAGTAGTCGAACATCGTGTTGACACTCCACTTATGATACTTTGGTACCTTCTCTCTATCTCCTTTATGTTCTGGTGAAACCTTGCTCTTCACTCAAAGCTTCCAGGTTATTCAGAAAGTAGTCCAAAGGAGCAGCCAGGAAATACACTTTTTTACTCATCTTTCTTTCAACACACCGGCCGTATCCCACCAAGGTGGGGTGGCCCAAAAGGAAAAACAAAAATATAACCTCTTACATTTAGTAGTATATACAGGAGAAGGGGTTACTTGCCCCTTGCTCCTGGCATTTTAGTCGCCTCTTACAATACGCACAGCTTACGGAGGAAGAATTCTGTTCCACTTCCCCATGGAGATAAGAGGAAATAAACAAGAACAAGAACTATAAAGAAAATAGAAGAAAACCCAGAGGAGTATGTATATATATGCTTATACATGTATGTATAGTGTGACCTAAGTGTAAGTAGAAGTAGCAAGACGTACCTGAAATCATGCATGTTCATGAGACAGAAAAAAGGACACCAGCAATCCTACCATCATGTAAAACAATTACAGGCTTTCGTTTTACACTCACTTGGCAGGACGGTAGTACCTCCCTGGGCGGTTGCTGTCTACCAACCTACTACCTATAACTTTTTTACTCATATTACATCCTGATATTTGAACCACTTTGACATCATGTTCATGATTTGTTTGTAATTTGAGTCCATGTAGTTACCTAAAAACTTTGACATCTATGAAGGCAGTCTATGCCTGTTTTTCAACATCAAGCAAAGAGCTTTCATAATTCTCATTCTGAAGAAGTCTCTGTATCTGGCCCAACAAATGTGCTTTTTTTGAACTTGTCATCCGACAATCCTGGAAACTTCTTGCACAAAAATTTATAATTGTTTCCATTTGTGGTAAAGCCTCGTTAAGACAAGTCTCATATGTAGAGGAGGCAAGAAGACATTTTTTGGATTAGCTACACTGTCTCGTAGTACTTTTCTTGCCCCTGATGAATGTCTACTCCTACTTGGTCATTATTACTGGGACCTGTGTGGCCTCTTTACTCTTCTATCCCATTTACACAAAAATACACAAACTTTGTGTATACCAGCTATTGTCCAAGGGCAACAGGTCAAAGGGCAAATGCAAGGTTTGGATACAAAATAACATTTTTGTGTTGTATTCTTATACATTACAGGAGCAAAAGTAGCAGTTATTACTGTGTTTTTTTTATGACCCCTGCAAATCATTAAAATACTAAAATGAAATAATTTTTCATATCTTTCATCCACTACCTTAGTGCAACAGAAACAGAACTCTTTATGGGGGTATTGATGACTGGACAGACATTTTTCTTAACAAATTACTTAGACTATACAACAAACATTGTCCTAGAAAAACAAAACAGATCACAAACAAACGGCTTGGTTGCCCATGGCTAACCAGCACCATTCTGAAATCCATTGACAAGAAACACCAATATGAAAAGCAATATAGACAGGGCTTAATACACAAAGATATTCTTAAACACTATTCATCAGTCCTCACCAAAGTAATAAAGAAAGCCAAACAACTATACTACTCCAGTAGATTCACAGACACTAGAGGAGATATAAAAAAGACCTGGAAAACACACTCTCAGATTCTAGGGACCCACAAACTGAAAAAAAACAAGAATATTGTCCTAACTAAACCTAATGAAACACCACTACATCCCACTGACACAGCTAACAAGATAAACGACTTCTTCTCAACCATAGGATCTAATCTCGCCAATAAAATCCCACATACCAATCCCCATGCCGGGGACTACCTAGATGGGAATTTCCCAAATTCATAAATAAATAGCAAAAAGGCACAATACCGTGACTGGAACGATACACAAATAACCCGCACATAAAAGAGAGAAGCTTACGACGAAGTTTCGGTCCGACTTGGACCATTGACAAAGTCACACTAACAGAGGTGGAGCAGGACGGCTATATATAGGCAGGAAGAGGTGGAGGTAGTAGTAGTAGTACAAGAATTGTATATAATACCGACAGGATGAAATGACACATGCACAACACCCGGGCATCCCCACCGTAGACGTTTCGCCATCCAGCCAGCCACTGGATGGCAAAACGTCCACCTCTGTTAGTGTGACTTTGTCAATGGTCCAAGTCGGACCGAAACGTCGTCGTAAGCTTCTCTCTTTTATGTGCGGGTTATTTGTGTATGTTTCCCAAATTCCTTCTATCTTGCACCAACTGAGCCCTCGGAAGTCACCGAGATTATAAAGTCACTTAAAAACAACTCAGGGAATCTGTCTAATGTCCCACCATTACTGTACAAGCGAACGGCCCATATCCTTTCGCATGCTATTTCATTACTTTTTAACAAGTCACTAGAAACTAGCACCTTCCCGAAACTACTCAAGATGGCAAGGGTTACACCAATACATAAAGGTGGTGACCCTACAGACTTAAACAACTACAGGCCAATATCAAACTTACCATTGCTATCCAAAATCTTTGAGAAACTCATGCACAGGAGACTATATTCATTTATAACAGCACAAAACATACTCAACCCCTGCCAATTTGGATTCAGGAAAAATAAAAGCACTAATGATGCAATCATAAAAATGCTAGATCTGCTTTACACAGCATTGGAAAATAAGGAATATCCACTAGGAATTTTTATTGACCTAAGAAAAGCTTTTGACACAGTAGACCACAACATCCTACTCCACAAACTTGACCATTACGGTATAAGAGGCCATGCGCTTGCTTATTTCAAATCTTACCTTACTAATAGGTATCAGTATGTCACCATTAAAGACACAGCATCAACAACACGGCCACTTGATACTGGAGTTCCGCAGGGAAGTGTCCTTGGTCCCCTGCTCTTCCTCATATACATCAATGATCTTCCAAACGTATCCCAACACCTGAAACCCATTCTCTTTGCTGACGACACGACTTATGTCATCTCTCACCCTAATCTTGCCACCCTCAACACCATTGTTAACGAGGAGCTGATCAAAATATCGACTTGGATGACAGCCAATAAACTTACGCTTAACACTGACAAAACCTACTATATTATGTTTGGTAGCAGAGCAGGAGATGCACAAATTAACATTAAGATCGACAACACTCTAATTACCAGACATAATGAGGGCAAATTCCTAGGCCTATACCTTGACAACAACCTGAATTTCAGCACCCATATCCAACACATAACCAAAAAAGTATCCAAAACGGTTGGGATCCTCTCCAAGATACGATACTACGTGCCGCAAAATGCCCTTCTCACACTATACCACTCACTTATTTATCCATACCTCACCTATGCTATTTGTGCTTGGGGATCTACTGCAGCAACACACCTAAAGCCAATAATAACCCAACAAAAAGCTGCAGTAAGAATAATCACTAAATCCCATCCCTGGCAACACCCCCCCCCCCCCACTCTTCATAGATCTAAACTTACTCCCTGTTCAGTACATCCACACTTACTACTGTGCAATCTACATCTACAGGACCTTAAACTCCAATATCAACCTTGACCTAAAACACTTTCTTGATAGTTGTGACAGAACCCACAGGCATAACACCAGACACAAACATCTCTACAACATTCCCCGTGTCCGACTAAACCTTTACAAAAATTCAATGTATGTCAAAGGCCCTAAAATCTGGAACACCCTACCTGAGAACTCTAGAACTGCAGACACATTCATCACCTTCAAAACTACCATTAGAAAACATCGTATCTCCCTGATACACCCCATCAACTAACTACACGAATACCACCTGGTGGTTCACACTTACACTCACTCACCCATTTGACCATAAACAGAAATATTAATCTCAATCTTAAAATAATGAATCCTATGATACTCCAATACTGAAACTATGTACTGTGCCAAAACAAAAGCATTCACATTGCTAAACTCACAAACTAGTACATGTATTTAGTCACTTAGCTATAATACCAACTTACCTCATAATTTGTAATATTTTAAAATAAAGAATTAAACTAAGTCTGCCCAAAATGCCTAGCCATGCTAGGTGTTCTAGTGGTACACTCTGTAATCATTATTTAACTACATGTAAACCACACAATAACAAAATTCTGTAAATCCAACATTGTAATCTTTATAGAGAATAAACTTTGAATTTGAATTTGAATTTGAATGATTTGTCCTGGTCTCCAACCTCCATTCCAAAGTTTGCATAGTAAGCTTTTTTGATAAAATGTGTATTATTTTTCTATTTCTTAACAATAAATTCACCTCAGATAAACTGTCCGGACAGTTAATACAGGCGAGCCCCATTTATACAACAGGTTTTGGACTACTTCTGTAAAGTGAAAATTGTTGTAAAATGAAACATAGCCTTTTTTTCACTTTCAAATGCATATAAAAGCCTGATAACATATTTCCACTATCATATATTAAGTGAGCAATAGAGCTAGGCCTAAAAATTACATACAGTACACACATGTACTGCTTAGTGTATAGTGCTTAGTGTATAGTGAATGGCTAATATATTTAGTGTAGGAAGTCTGAATAAATTAAGAATGGGTATAATTGAAAACTGCTGTATTAGTGAAATACTGTAAAATGAAGTGCTGTAAAGCAGGCCCCTTCTGTACACCCTTGTGTAGCGATCGTCACAAGAACCACGGCTCTACTCTGTAATGGAACAAAATTACATTAAATGCACATGCTAAAACAAAACACAAATACAATAAACACATGTACAGTACAAAGACGTGATGTCAGCTGACAGCTTTCAGACTCCTTAAGTGCCCTGTAACATCTGTCTCTACCTCACAACCTCTTACCCCCTCCCCACATTCATGCCAAAACCTGTTACAGTGAAACCCCAGGTTTCGGCCGTAATCTGTTCCAGGAGCTAGGCCTAAATGCGAAACGGCCGAAAGACAAAGCAATATTTCCCATAAGAAATAATGTAAATAAAATTAATTTGTTCCAGACCCACAAAAATATTCACAAAAAATACATTTTTTAAAGAATAATTATAGTTTTACATATACACGACACAGATATACACCTACCATCCTACTTACGACCGAGTTCGGTTCCGAGAAACCGGTTGTAAGTCGAAATGGTCGTAAGTCAAACTTTACTATTGAATATCAACAAAACATTTTTGTAATGACTTTATTTTATTGTTTTATTTTGGTATTTCATGTTTTACTTTACTTTTTATTTTGTTAGTACTGTATTTTATACTGTAAGGTTAGGATAAACACTGTGTACAACACAAATAGTTGTTTATTTCCCAGAAATTTGGCATAAAAAACACGGTCGTAAGTCGAGCAGGTCGTAAGCTGGATGGTAGGTGTACATATATATTATACAATACATAAATTACAATTTAAATAAATATTTAAAATAACATTTACTTACCTTTATTGAAGAGACTTGCTGGCATCTGGAAGATAGGGGGAGGAGAGAGGGATGACTTATTGTTTGGAAGGGGAATCTCTTTCCATAAAGACTTTAGGTAACAAGTCCTTATCTGGGGTTTCTTCCCTTCTTTGTCTTTTAAGGCCACTAGGACCAGCTTGAGAGTCACTGGACCCCTGTCACACAAAATAACTGTCAATAGTGTTGTGTCCCTGAAGTGGGACAAGGTTTTGTCACTGAATATGTTGTAGATATGGCTTGTTTCAGCTTGGTCAGGGAAGTACTTTTAAACAAAAGTTTGCAACTCATTCCACTTTGCACACTTTTCACAGTCACAATTAATGGCTGGCTGGTTGCCTGGCTGGTTGCCTGGCTGGTTGCCTTGCTGGTTGCCTGGCTGGTTGCCTGGCTGGTTGCCTGGCTGGTCGCCTGGCTGGTTGCCTGGCTGGTTGCCTGGCTGGTGGCCTGGCTGGTGGCCTGGCTGGTCGCCTGGCTGGTCGCCTGGCTGGTCGCCTGGCTGGTCGCCTGGCTGGTCGCCTGGCTGGTCGCCTGGCTGGTCGCCTGCCTGGTCGCCTGCCTGGTCGCCTGCCTGGTCGCCTGCCTGGTCGCCTGCCTGGTTGCCTGCCTGGTTGCCTGCCTGGTTGCCTGCCTGGTTGTCTGCCTGGTTGCCTGCCTGGTTGCCTGCCTGGTTGCCTGCCTGGTTGCCTGCCTGGTTGCCTGCCTGGTTGCCTGCCTGCCTGCCTGCCTGCCTGCCTGCCTGCCTGCCTGCCTGCCTGCCTGCCTCAATGAGAGCGCAGGATAATGTTCACTCGAGGATAAACAACACTAGACTGGCTCATGACACCTGTGCGGGGCAGCGCAGAAGCGTGGGCAGGCAGACAGGTCTGGTACACCGGCTGAAACCCGGGGCAACAGCTGAAACGCGGGACAAAATTTGGCCGAAAAAAGCTTGCAAAACCCGAAGCGGCTGATTCCCAGGGTGGCCAAAACCCAGGGTTTCACTGTATATAACAAGGAATAGCGGCAACATTAATTTGTAGGAGATTGGACAAAAATTGTATGTGATGTATTAAATTTGAGAATCATGAAATTAGCACATTAAATTTCATAAAGGCCTTTGGATTATTAATGACTTTGCATGGTGTATGTTAAAAAGGTTTAATGTAATGAACTTTTTTATGTTTGGTGAGACATTTGTTTATAAAAAAAAATTGCTGACTGTTGATGCCAGGTCAGATTTTATTGTTTGATAATTTCTTCTTGTTTCAACAAACCGGCCATATCCCACCAAGGCAGGGTGGCCCAAAAAGAAAAACAAAAGTGTCTCTTTTTAAATTTAGTAATTTATACAGGAGAAGGGGGTTACTAGCCCCTTGCTCCTGGCATTTTAGTCGCCACACACAACACGCATAGCTTACGGAGGAAGAATTCTGTTCCACTTCCCCATTGAGATAAGAGGAAATAAACAAGAACAAGAACTAGTAAGAAAATAGAAGAAAACCCAGAGGGGTGTGTATATATATGCTTGTACATGTATGTGTAGTGTAACCTAAGTGTAAGTAAAAGTAGCAAGACGTACCTGAAACCTTGCATGTTCATGAGAGAAAAAAAGACACAAGCAACCCTACCATCATGTAAAACAATTACAGGTTTTCATTTTACACTCACTTGGCGGGACAGTAGTACCTCCCTGGGCGGTTGCTGTCTACCAACCTACTACCTATATGTTTGATAATTTACTTTGATTAAATGTGCATATTTATCAGTGACACTTTTTTTAGTGTCTGCAGCTATAAAGCAATTAGATAGCAATTTAGTGTTTTCTTTTCAGGTTTTTTCAACTATTGGTGCTGCCGTTTTTGTTGATCATTTGGGCCGCCGAAAGTTGCTAATGGCATCTATTGCTGCCATGGCTGTGGCACTTGCCACCATTGCAGTCTGTGAAGTAGCAACCCAACATGGAGCAGGTTTGTATCCATGCCTAGATTGATAAGTAAATAATACATTTTAAATGACTGTCTAAAAGCCTCTTGAGTTTCTTGAATTACTGTACTCAGATAATATTGCAAAGAACTTGCATAATGTAGCAATGTAACTGAGAGGTGAAATAGGCAGGCTGTGGTACCGGAGAGCGGTCATCTTCCACATGGTCATAATGTAACAAACCAAGTCTGAGGAAAATTCAACATAAACATTGATAAGCTTAAAGCCCATCATTAGGAAATCCTTCTGAATATTAACTAAAGAGCACAAAATGCTGTGGGAGGCTTGGTCACCTACCAGTGCCCTTGTTGAGTGTTTGTAATGGATATGGATTATGAATTTTCTTCTATAAAATTGAAAAGCTGTGTTAAGGAACTGTTAGGTAATGTAAAATTTGGTAACAATAAATAACAAAAAAAGGCACAATACCGTGACTGGAATGATACACAAATAACCCGCACATAAAAGAGAGAAGCTTACAACGACGTTTCAGTCCGACTTGGACCATTTACAAAGTCACACTAACCAGAAGTGGAGCAGAACAGCTATATATAGGCAGGAAGAGGTGGTGGTAGTAGTAGTAGTAGTACAAGAATGGTATATAATACCGACAAGATGAAATTAAGACACATGCGCAACACCCGGGCATCTCTATCGTAGACGTTTCGCCATCCAGCCAGCCACTGGATGGCATCTGGGTGTCTTTGTTGTGGACGTTTTGCCATCCAGTGGCTGGCTGGATGGTGAAACGTCTTCGATAGAGATGCCTGGGTGTTGTGCATGTGTCTTAATTTCATCTTGTCGGTATTATATACCATTCTTGTACTACTACTACTACTACCACCACCACCTCTTCCTGCTTATATATAGCCGTCCTGCTCCACTTCTGGTTAGTGTGACTTTGTAAATGGTCCAAGTTGGACCGAAACGTTGTCGTAAGCTTCTCTCTTTTATGTGCGGGTTATGTGTGTATTGTGTAAAATTTGGCTTAACCCTATAGTATTAAGTGTTGCACATGTGTCTAATTTACCAACTTGTCAGTTTTCTGAACCATTTATCTACATTGGTATGGTAGGCCAATAATATAGTACATAAGAATGTATGAATACAAGAGCACTGCAGTAGGCCTGTTAGCCCATGCTGGGTAAGGTCTTTACAGATCCAACCCTTCTCACTTGTACACTTCTCTAACCTATTTTTAAAGCTATCCAAGGTATTAGGTTTCAGTGACCGCATAAGAATTTAGAATGGAGGAATGTAGCAGCAGGCCTCCTGGCCCATACTTGGTAGGTCCTTCTCAGATTCATTCCCTATCATTCAAACATTTGTCTGTGATGAATGGTTTTGAAAACCTGCAAGTTGAAGATTGAGACACTTATGCAACATATGGGAATCTTTATTTAGGAAACGTTTCGCCACACAGTGGCTTCATCAGTCCAATACAATGCAGAAAGGTGTCTCAATCTTCAAACATTTGTCTAACCTGTTCTTAAAGCTGCCCAAAGTTCGCGCTTCTAAATAACTCTACTAACTCATGGATAAGTAAGACACGTGCAACAGTCAGGTATTTTTATTCTGAAATATTTCACCTGCACAGTAGGCTTCTTCAGTTGAATACAGAAGAGACAGCAGAAGCAGTGGAGATGTAAAGATAATGTAATCAGTTCATTATCCTGGATGAAGTAATTTTGAGGTGATCAATACCTCAGCCTGAAGAAGAGTTCAGCTCCATAGTCTGGAACATTGTGAAAATGAAGCATGGGAATGGAGACTTAAGTACTGTACTGTCTAAGGTGAGGTGCAGAAAATCTTGAAGAAAAAAGAAGAGGTAGGGTTCACTAGTAGAGGTAGGAATGGCCTACTGGCCAATGCTAAGTAGGTCTCTCTCAGATCCAGCCTTTGTTAGTCATAACTAATGGTTAGGCAGTAAAGTTGTCAAAGATGTCCTCTATACTAATACCATTGTGTAGCAGTGTTTGACAATGTGAATGTAATAATAATATACAATGCCAACAAGTAGATAAGTAAGACACATGTGAACATATTGCATATGTCTTACTTATCTACTTGCCAGTATTGTATACTGTTATATTTCTACTAACCTGTGCTCTGCAGATCCCATTCATATCCAACCCTTGATGTTCACATATTTGTCTAACATTTTGTTTAAAACTACCAAATGATTTAGCAGATTGTTCTAATTATCTACAGCTTCATTGATAACCAATACCTTATTCTCTCAAAATTTGATTTTATTTAATTGGAATCTGTTGTTCTGAGTTCCTACTTGACTAGATATTTAACACAGTAGCCCTGATATATATTGTTTAATGTAAAATGAGGCAGTAGCAAGTGGATGAATGCAGTAGAAATGATATAGTCTGTGAGTATGAATATGATTAGTTTCTTCTTTCTTTCAACGCACCAGCCATATTCCATCAAGGTAGGGTGGCCCAAAAGGAAAAATGAAAGTTCCTCCTTTTAAATTTAGTAATACTATATACAGGAGAAAGGGTTACTAGCCCCTTGCTCCCAGTATTTTAGTTGCCTCTTATGACACTCATGGCTTACGGAGGAAAAATTCTGTTCCACTTCCCCATGGAGAATTATGTAAGCTATTTTAATTTGTCTGGAAATGCAATTAAGTGGTATACTACAATAATATTAATCAGCATCATGTTATAGCCTTTCTTTCTTTCTCCTTAATGCAGGAGGCAGTTGGGTTGCAATACTTGCTGCTATCCTCTATGTCAGTGCATACTCGTTTGGCGTTGGTCCCATCACCTGGGTACTAGTGGGGGAACTGTTCCCTCAGGCTGCAAGGGAAAAGGCTGCTGCTCTCATCTCTGTACTAAACTGGTTTTTAGCTTTTATTATTACTAAAACTTACTTCAGGTAAGAATTTTATATCACATCATAATTTGTGGAACACAGCCTCTCCTCACTTAACAACAGAGTTCCATTCCTAAGACCACATCGGTAAACGAATTTGTCGCTAAGTGAGGAGCACACTATAATGGTAGTGGGTTTGTGTCAACTATCTTTGATATTGTTTTAATGTCATCTTTGCAGCATTTATAACAATTGTGGTACCATATTTTTAAATGTTTATACAGTAGTGTACTGTATATTGTAATAAACAGAATATAGGAAATCAACTCTAATACACATTATTTAGGCATGCATACTGGTCAGAGAGCCAGTTGTAAGTCCGAGGCGTTGGTAAACAAGTACGTCACTAATTGAGGAGAGGCTGTACTGTACATATATTGTTTACCTGTATTGATTTTTTTTTTTATTAAGTCGGTCATCTCCCACCGAGGCAGGGTGACCCAAAAAGAAAGAAAATACTTTCATCATCATTCGACACTTTCACCTCACTCACACATAATTACTGTTTTTGCAGAGGTGCTCAGAATACAACAGTTTAGAAGCATATATGTATAAAGATATACAACATACCCCTCCAAACTGCCAATATCCCAAACCCCTCCTTTAAAATGCAGGTATTGTACTTCCCATTTCCAGGACTCGAGTCCGGCTATATAAAAATAACCAGTTTCCCTGAATCCCTTCACTAAATATTACCCTGCTCACACTCCAACAGCTTGTCAGGTCCCAAATACCATTCGTTTCCATTCACTCCTATCTAGCACGCTCGTGCACGCTTGCTGGAAGTCCAAGCCCCTCGCCCACAAAACCTCCTTTATCCCCTCCCTCCAACCTTTTCGAGGACGACCCCTAACCCGCCTTCCTTTCTCTACAGATTTATACGCTCTCCATGTCATCTAATTTGATCCATTCTCTAAATGACCAAACCACCTCAACAACCCATCTTCAGCTCTCTAATACTTTTATTAACCCCACACCTTCTCCTAATTTCCACACTCCGAATTTTCTGCATAATATTTACACCACACATTGCCCTTAGGCAGGACATCTCCACTGCCTCCAACCATCTCCATGCTGCAGCATTTACAATCCAAGCTTCACACCCATATAAGAGTATTGGTACCACTATACTTTCATGCATTCCCTTCTTTGACTCCATAGATAATGTTTTTTGTCTCCACATATACCTCAACGCACCACTCACCTTTTTTCCTTTATCAATTCTATGATTAGCCTCATCCTTCATAAATCCATCCACTGACACGTCAACTCCCAAATACAGTGGACCCCCGCATACCGCACGCATTGCATACCGTACAATCCGCATACCGCTCGCTTTTTTCGCAAAAATTTTGCCTCGCATACCGCCCAAAAACCCGCTCACCGCCCTTCGTCCGAGACGCGTCCAATGTGCGGCCTGAGCCACGCTCACGTGTTCCGCCGGTGGCATTGTTTACCAGCCAGCCTCCGCGGTAACATCCAAGCATACAATCGGAACATTTCGTATTATTACAGTGTTTTTGGTGATTTTTTCTGGAAAATAAGTGACCATGGGCCCCAAGAAAGCTTCTAGTGCCAACCCTACAGCAATAAGGGTGAGAATTACTATAGAGATGAAGAAAAAGATCATTGATAAGTATGAAAGTGGAGTGCGTGTCTCCGAGCTGGCCAGGTTGTATAATAAACCCCAATCAACCATCGCTACTATTGGTGGTACAGCTGCTGCTGCACTGTCAGCTGCTGCTGCACTGTCAGCTGCTGCTGCTGCTGTAGTACCGTCTGCTGCTGCTGTAGCATCGTCTGCTGCTGCTGTAGCATCGTCTGCTGCTGCTGTAGCATCGTCTGCTGCTGCTGTAGCATCATCTGCTGCTGCTGTAGCATCATCTGCTGCTGCTGTAGCATCGTCTGCTGCTGCTGTAGCATTGTCTGCTGCTGCTGTAGCATCGTCTGCTGCTGCTGTAGCATCGTCTGCTGCTGCTGTAGCATCGTCTGCTGCTGCTGTAGCATCGTCTGCTGCTGCTGTAGCATCGTCTGCTGCTGCTGTAGCATCGTCTGTTCCTGCTGTAGCATCGTCTGTTGCTGCTGTACCACCGTCAGCTGCTGCTGCTGCTGTAGCACCGTTGTTGGTGTGGCTTATTGAGAATACCAAGAAACAATTAACCCCAGAGGATTTGCCACCCAGGATAACCCAAAAAAGTCAGTGTCATCGAAGACTGTCTAACTTATTTCCATTGGGGTCCTTAATCTTGTCTCCCAGGATGCAACCCACACCAGTCGACTAACACCCAGGTGAACAGGGAAAAATGCCTGGAACTAGTGCTCAGATTGGCGAATTTAAAGCCAGTAAAGGTTGGTTTGAGAGATTTAAGAATCGTAGTGGCATACACAGTGTGATAAGGCCTGTTCTGGAAGAAAATGCCAAACAGGACCTACAGTACTCAGGAGGAAAAGGCACTCCCAGGACACAGTGTCTCATCAGTCATTGCTGCATCTTCAATAAAGGTAAGTGTCATTTATTCTTCATTTAGTAGAGTAGTACATGCACAATATATATTGTGCATGTACTACTCTACTATTGTGCATGTATCCTTCTCTTTGTGTGTAGGAAAATGTATATTTCATGTGGTAAAAATTTTTTTTTCATACTTTTGGGTGTCTTGCACGGATTAATTTGATTTCCATTATTTCTTATGGGGAAAATTCATTCGCATACCGAACATTTTGCATAACAATCAGCCCTCTTGCACGGATTAAAGTCGCTATGCGGGGGTCCACTGTATCTGAAAACATTCACTTCTTTCATACCCCTCCTCTCCATTTTGATATCCAATTTTTCTTTATCTAAATCATTTGATACCCTCATCACCTTACTCTTTTCTATGCTCACTTTCAACTTTCTATCTTTACACACTCTACCAAGCTCGTCCACTAACCTTGGCAATTTAGTTTTATTGCTCATTATGTTTTTGGCATTGTAGATAATGACTTAATATTTATAGTTAAGTCTTCAAGATAAAAATGCCCTTTACAAGAAATATCTAATAAATTAAATACTGTAGATAAGGCACCATGAGCTTAGCTCTATGCCAGTAGCTACAAATAGGTAATTAGAGACTGGTAATTACACTACATTCTTGATAATGTACAATTCATTTCTCTAGTGGTTTAAGATTGGTGATCTGAGCACAATTTATGCATCGGCAGTTTCTCCCACTTTGAATCTTATTTTGAACCAGTTCCAATGCTCAGTTAGACCCAATTCTTAGCTGTTTCACTAGTATGCCTTCCATTCTGTTGATAGAGCCCAAGACACCTCCCATTTAACTATCACAACTGCCCTATATATAATGTGCACAGAAGCCAGTAATTTGGCCAGTTTTACACAAAATTAAAAAAAAAAATTCCACCTACTAAAGCCACCTCTCCTCTCTTCATTAATTATGTCCCCAGGTCCCCTATATAATACTTGCCCTATAATCAAGAATGATTGTTCATTGTTTAAACCAGCCAAATAATTGTAGCAGACCCAGTAAAAACTCATGAAACAGACTGAGAGCTAGGGAAGCCCTACCCTTCCTCAGAAAACCTGCCAGAATTGAATATTTCTGCCACTTTCAGCCCTATTTCAAGCTAGTGCCAGTTTGGAACTAACCAGAATAATCTCTGTTTCACAAGTGTATGTCTGTGAAAGATGAGGTGAATCATAGAATTAATGAGGGGAAAAAAGGTGAGTGGAGCTCTGAGGAGTCTTTGGAGACAATGAAAGCTATCCATGGAAGCAAAGAGGGGAATGTATGAGTGGTGAATGTTGCAAGAAGGAGAAGGCAGTGTAGCTGTTGTGTTTGAGGCCAATGTGTGGAGTGAATATAATGCAGAGAATCTGTAGCTTGAAGATTAGGAGTTGCAGGGTTTCTAAAAGTATTATCCAGAGGACAGAGGAAGGGTTGTTGAGTTGGTTTGGATATTTAGAAAGGATGGAACAAAATAGAAAGACTTGGAGCTGTTGTCCTAGGAAAAGTTGGAGGGAGAGGGTAAAGGATGTTTTGTGTGTGAGGGGCTTGGACTTCAGCAAGTGTGCATCAGCATATTAGATAAGAGCAAGTGGAGACAAATGGTTTTTTATGACTTGACGTGCTGTTGAAGTTTGAGCAAAGCAACATTTATGAAGGGATTCAGGGAAACCGGTTAATCAGACATGAGTCCTGGAGTTGGGAAGTAAAGTTCCTGCACACTGAAGGAGGGGTGTTGATATGTTGCAGAGTTTTAACTGTAGTGTAGGCATGCCTCTAGCAAGTCAGTGATGGAATGAATGATGATGAAAGTGTTTCTTCTTTTTTGGGTCATCCTGGCTTGGTAGGCAATGGATGATGTGTTAATAAAAAAATAAATGTCTTCCATTGTATAAATTGATACCAAGAAATAGTCAATAAACCATGAAAACTACTAGAAAACACTTCAAAGTTCTATTTCAAACCAAACATAAGTTCAGAGGTTTGCTTTTCCTACGATGCATTCTGTAGAGCAAGATTTTTTATATAGTGTGCACTGCACACTTGCTGCACATACTCATTCTCTCATGCTTAGAGCAAAATTTACCTTCCACAGCATATTTGAGGGTGCTATGATTAAAACATAGATCTACATGAGTGACACTGGCATCAATGATGTCAATCTACATGAGAGAAGGCAGTGAACGGGTTAATTTCTGTAGCATCCTCCTACATAACCTACTTACACAAATTGTCATTATACAATACTTAATTAACTACTGCACTGATTTAACTTAAAAATTTCTATTGATAACTTTTAGTCTTACTTTCTATCCCTAAACTTATTTTTTTTATCCTATCCTCATTGTTCCTTCAGTATTATATACAAATATTTTTTTCTTTCTAAATAGGCTGGAATCCTTGACTGGTATTGCTGGTACCTGTGGTGTCTACAGCAGTGTGTGTGTCATTGGACTGATATTAGTGTATTTTCTCGTTCCTGAAACCAAAGGGCGTACCCTGGGTGAAATAGAGGCATACTTCACTTACACTCAACGTTCGTGGAAGGTTGTTAAAAATAAGCGTGATGTGACTCTGTCCAGCATCTTGGAACAGGAGGGAGGACCATCAGACACGTACAGTACATTTCAGTCAATAGAATAATTTTTTCATCAATTAGATTTGCAGTGTATAAATTTGTTAAACTGGAAACTGAAGCATATGCTGCTAATGCTTGTGCAGTATATTTTTCTTAAATATTGTTTTGCTTTTTAAACTTAAATATTTGTGATATGTAGCACTTGAGACACTTATTATTGTTAGCAGAGACTTGATAATCTTGTGTCAAAAAGAGATCAAGTTCCAAGATGCAGTGTTTGATATTTCCTACAGGGGTAGACTTTATTAAATATATTGTTCAGAGAAACAAACAAGTTTTTTTTTTTTTTAAATAAGCTATGTTGTATCTGAGATAATTCCCTATCTTAATTACTTTCATATTATATATAATTTCTTAATTCAGAGTATTTTATATTTCAATGTGTGATGCACTACAATGAATTTGCAATATTTTACTTTTCAGTATACTATATATTTCTTAATAAAGAAATAACCAAATTCAATAGGACCCCAACTTACAGACACCCAAGTTACACGTACAGTATTCACACTTACAAACAGTTCTCTATAGGAGCCAGTTAATCTTTACAACTGCCAAACTGCAGCAGTACAAATATGTTTGAAATGTAACCATCCTTTGTATTGTTGTTTTCTAAACAAACGACTCTCTTAAAAGTATCAAAACCAGAAATACCTGTATTCTTTAGCTGTGGTATAACCCACAGATGTGGTGGTTTTGGAATGATCATTAAAGCATGGCAAGTCTTCCCTGTAAGGAGCATAATCAAAAACTGAACAAGTAGAGCCATCCACTTCACAATTATATGTTGAATATTTGTCATATTCTTCTTATTTTTTAGAGTCCAAAAGTGTTATCAGCACTTGCATAACCTTGCATGAAGGTGGTGGACAGTGAGGCAGGTTACTTAACTTTAATTTTGAACCTCATTTTGCCATTATAAATTTGTGGTATGCAACATATATGTCTCATTTTTTTTTTTTTATGTACAGCCTCTCCTCACTTAACGACAGAGTTCCATTCCCGAGACCACATCAGTAAACAAATTCCTCTCTAAGTGAGGAGCATACTGTTTATATATTTATTTATTTATTTATTTATTAATTTGAACATGATACAGTGAAGTACAAAGTTATTACAGTGCAGCATGCCAAAGCCCCTTGTATGCAGAGCATTATGAGCAGGCTTAAAATTAACTTAAGATTAACTAAGCAATGATATATTCAGTGGTAAATACATTATTGTAAACAGATAACAATTTAGCACAAATGAGTATTACAAAGACAGGTCATATGGTCATTTACTGTGTTGCTGAGCATTCAGTAGATTGGAGTATTATGTTGTTTTAATGTCACCTTTGCACCATTTATAACATTTCTGGTATATTTTTAAATGTTTACACAGTAGTGTACTGTATATATTAATAAACAGAATACTAGAGGAAATCAGCTCTGATGTACCTTATTTAGGTATGCATACTGGTCAGAGAGCCCATCGTAAGTTCGAGTCGTCAGTAAATGAGTGTGTCGCTAAGTGAGGAGAGGCTGTATTGTATATTCACGACATTATTTGAACTAAATGTATAAAACCCCTTTATTATTCGTGGCTGACAATAAGAATACTGAATAGTATAGTATCTAAATATTTAAAGAGTTGTACACATGCATGGATGGGTACTGTTGGCTGATAAATGTGGCCTCGCAGCTTACATTAGATATTTAATTCTGAACGACAGATGGGAGTACCTACTGGATTTCTATTGTACCTCTTATTCTGTGGATTTTCAAGATGAGAGAAACACCCTTTGGCTTGTTACGGTCATGAGACAAAATGTAGTTAGTTTTATCCTTACTACTATTATGCTCTATAAACAACAAAACTATCAAAGTTTCTCATGAGAAAAAGTGAAGCCTCGATTTAACAGGGAAAGGGGGTACCCATTAACCCTTTCAGGGTGGATCCCATAGTACTACAGCTTTGAAGTGCAAATCAGTCCAGTAGTTTTACGCTATGAGCTCAACTCGCTTAGATAAGCTGTGAGCAGTAAATTTAGGCCTAGATATGAGAGTTAGATCTATGCGGTATAAGAGTCCTTCAGCACACAGTACATAATAGGGAAAAAACAGCAACTGTGTTTTTGGTTTAAAATGGCGATTTTGCTGTGTATTTTCATATGGTTTTTATGGTTGTATTCTCTGTTTCTTGGTCTCATTTGATAAAATGGAAGATATATTATAGAAATAGACATGATTTTGATTGGTTTCAGAATTGAAAGTAGCTTGAAATTGAGTTCAAAGTTGCAGAAATGTTCGATTTTTGCCGATATTCCAGAATACACGAATTACGTCACTCATCCAAAACGCATCCAACTGGTCAGTTTAATATGCATTCACAAATGTGCTGACATTATTTATACAATTATTACAATAATACAGTATTCTGCATAACAGTAAGCCTTCTGTTTGTTGTGTGAATAAAAATTCAAAATGGTAAGCAAGTGTAATAGAGGAGAGGCCTGATGACATGACTAATGAACAGAGGAAATGTGTTTTAGTGTCAGGAATGTCTAAATTGTTTATTCTGGGCCCTATTATGAAATTGGCAATTTTTTAATTTTGTGTGAAATTGGCCAAATTGCCAATTTCTGATCACTTTATTGGGTAGTTGAAATAGGTAAATGGGCAGTGTTTGGTCAACTGGAACAGTGGAATTGGCTGAAAATAGAGCTCAAATTGGGCAAAATTGCTGATGCGTAAATATCATCCAGACCGATAGCTTTGCAAAAGCGTAATTCCATAAGTTTTCCATCAAATTTCATACTTTTGATTTCATTACATTCGGAAAAAGATTATCTTTTTTTAATTCTTCAACCCTGAGAGCAAGTTTTAGATCAAGGGTTCTGACCCTGAAAGGGTTAAAGCCAATTGTCTGTTAGATCCAAGTGATGAGATTGTTTTTCTGTAATTACAAGTTACAAAAAATTCTGGTTTTAGTGGACTTATTTAGTTAAATTCAAAATAGATTAACCCAGCACACCATGACAGTAATAGACAATTGTGTATTTAACAGACTTTGCTCATTGCTTCTGGATATTGTCTGGCCACAGATTTTGCCCATTGAATCCAAAGGCCATAAAGTTGGGGATCATTAAACCGAGATTTAACTTTAGTGCTTAGTGCTTTCAGTAGCAAAGTCTGGCATATATGCCAGACTTTATATTCAACTCTTCGCTTGTGCTTTGCTTGTGGTTATAACATACACCACCATTGAGTGTATCGGATGCATTCAAGATTGTAATACTGTCTGAAGAAACAGGAACAAGTAATTCCTTTCAAGGAAAAAATCGTGATAACCAGGATTGGAAGAGAGTGGTATAGAATTTTGGTCATTTGTCGAAACTCCGAACTCATGTTTATTTCTTTAAAATAAATGTATTATGTGTATAAACTATGGGAACAAGGGGCTAGTAACCCCTTCTCCTGTATAAATTACTAAATTTAAAAAGAAAAACAATCATTTTTCTTTTTAGGTCACCCTGCCTTGGTGGGATATGGCCAATTTCTTGAAAAAAAAAAATGTATAACTATGTACTTAATTTTGACATGCAGAACTGGAAAATTGGCTGAAATGGATTTTTACCAAGGTTTTGCAGATCAAAGATGCCATATGGTATACTAATGATTCCACTTTTATCATACATTCCCATTTATCATACATTCTTTTCCTATATTTTTTTTTTTTACATTGATATGTTTGTAAATTAACACTTTTTTGCATTCCTGGAATCTTTGCCTTGAACCCTCAGTCCCTGATGGGACGTGGTATGACTGGTTGAATGATGACGTAAAAGGTGTGATAAAAGAGAAAAAGGTTGCTTATGAGAGGTTTTTACAGAGAAGAAGTGATATAAGACACATGTGCGGCGTCTGGTTGTCTTTGTTGTGGACGTTTCGCCATCCAGTGGCTGGCTGGATGGCGAAACGTCTACAATAGGGATGCCCGGGTGTTGCGCATGTGTCTTAATTTCATCGTCGGTATTATATACCATTCTTGTACTACTACTACTACCACCACCTCTTCCTGCCTATATATAGCCGTCCTGCTCCACTTCTGGTTAGTGTGACTTTGTCAGTGGTCCAAGTCGGACCGAAACGTCGTCGTAAGCTTCTCTCTTTTATGTGCGGGCTATTTGTGTATAGTGTACAGTGGGCCCCCGGTTTACAATATTATTTCATTCCAGAAGTATGTTCAGGTGCCAGTACTGAACGAATTTGTTCCCATAAGGAATATTGTGAATTAGATTAGTCCATTTCAGACCCCCAAACATACTCGTACAAACGCACTTACATACATACACTTACATAATTGGTCGCATTGGGAGGTGATCATAAAGCAGGGGTCCACTGTATATGGAAAGTAAGAGAGGTGAAGAGAGTGGCGAGAGAGTGCAAAAGGAGAACAAATGATAGAATGGGTGAAGCACTGTTAACAAATTTTGCTGAGAATAAGAAAAAAAAAATGGAGTGAGATAAATAAGTTAAGAATGCATAGGGAACAAATGGATTTGATAGTTAATTAAAAACAGAATAGGGGAGTTAGTATATGGAGAGTTGGGGGTATTAGGAAGATGGCAGGAATATATATGAAGAGTTGGGGTTATTGGGAACATGGCAAGAATATTTTGAAGAACTGTTAAATGTTAATGAAGAGAGGAAGGCAGTAATTTCATGCATTGGTCAGGGAGATACAACATCCTCTAGAAGTGAAGAAGAGCCAGATGTGAGTGTGGGGGAGGTGCATGAGACATTAGACAGAATGAAAAGGGGTAAAGCAGCTGGAACTGATGGGATCATGACAGAAATATTAAAAGGAAGGGGGAAGCATAGTTTGTTCAGAAAATGTATATAAGAGGGGAAGGTACCTAGGGATTGGCAGAGAGCATGTATAATTCTTTTATATAAAGGGAAGGGGGACAAAAGATATTGTAAAAATTATAGGGAATAAACTTGCTGAGTATACCGGGTAAAGTGTATGGTAGGGTTATTATTGAAAGAATGAGGTAAGACAGAGAGCAGGAATGCAGATGAACAAGGAGGTTTCAAAGTGGGTAGGGGATGTGTAGATCAAGTGTTTACATTGAAGCATTCAAGTGAACAGTATTTAGATAAAGGTAGGGAAGTTTTCATTGCACTTATGGATTTAGAAAAGACATATGATAGGGTGGATAGGG